ATATAGACATTACAAAAAGGTTCATATATGCATATTATTTGTGTTTGTATATGTTTGGTATTTTGACTAAAAACAATATATTAATCTTAATATTTTTTATAAATACAAGATTCATACATAATCAAATTTTTAGTTTTTTTCTTAACAAACTTATATTATTATTAACAATGATGGTTTACCGTGTGTATGAGCTCATTTTCATACTCTTATACAATATTGTATACCGTACACCTTTATTGTATCCTTAAAAAATGACATAAAGATAAAACTTTCTACAAGAAAGAAACAACAAAAAAACTTCATACTCATACATTTTTCTCTATATTATTCATCATTTTGTTGAAAAATCTTGCAAATAAAAAAAAAAATATTTTTTTTTTGTTTTTACAAAATTTTACAAATATTTGCATATCATATACGTTCGTACATTAACTGACTCCCTCTCTATATAAATTATGGATATATCATTTAAAACATAAGTATAATATGCTTGTACGTGCAAGAAATTCATGTTAATATATATACATACATATATGCGTAATCAATGTTGATAGCATTTGAACAGGGTGACACATTTTATTATGAAAAATATTTAAAAATACACAATTTATTCAAAAAATTGTAAGTTCATTTCTATGTGTATTATTACATTTATACTACTTAGCACCTTTGTACACAAGTACAAACTAAATTGTCTTTCAACTAAAATTTGAACTTATTTCAAAGCTATTGTATTATTAGAAAAGTTAAGCAAACTGAAAATAAAACTCATATAAATTTTATAGAAACCAAAATAATAATTACATGTAATTAAGACTTACTAACATTATTTTTATTACAAAATAATTTGTATTTAAAATTTTTTCATATTACACAAATAGATTTGGGCACTTTAAAACAAGTATACATTATGACAATCTCCCAAAATATTTACATATAATAAGAGTATAGTGACTAAATTATTTAATATAATAACTAACAATTTTCCTGAATTTTAAATAAATCTTTTTAAGATCATCTAAACGTTTAAGTTCCATGTTTTCTCCAAAATACACCAGCCTCAATAAAGTAGTATAGTTGAGGAGATAAAAATATATATTTGTAATTTCAAAAATTAAACTCCAATTGCGGCTTTGATATATGTCACTCCAAATTATCTCGTCGTAATTTGGAATAATTTACAAATGAAACGCCGTTTTTTATGGAGTAAAACCTAACCTATGTATATAAAAATTTTAGTAATCTGGTAGTGAAAAAATTACCGGAATACATGATTAATAAAATGATTTATTTTGGAATATTTAAATGAATGAGAGTGTTACAAAATTGAAATGTTATATTTGCTTAACTGTAGCTGTTATAAATGTTTTTTTTTTATGAAATTATTGTAATTAGTAAAAGAAAATAATTAGATATTTGGCCAAAAGAATTTGATACTTATTTTCTATATAAAAATGTCGAGCCACTTACAATATGTCGTATATTATCCCAAATGTATAGAACATTCCAAACTCATTTACATATTAGGAATGTCATAATATCTTTAAAGTATATCAAAGCAAAATTCTTGAATTTTTAAAGTATTTAATGTTAAAAGTAAAGTTAACAGTTATATAACAATATAAAGTACAAATACCGATTATAAGGCATAGTAGTCTCCAAACGCTTCCACATACAAACTATAACTTTATTCTTATAACTTTATAAAGAGTGTTTTGAACTCTTTTCATTCTAATTCTCTCAATATTCTTTCAATTTCAACCGACAAACATTGCGCATACTTCAATTATTTCAAAATTCAATTTTTTTCTCAACACCCTGTAGGTACTTACTATACATATAGGTATTACGTTTACTTAAATATTAATGACAAAGTTTTTGTATATAGTTGCACTTATTTTTTAAAACCCTTAGTTTACAATGAATAAAAAAGTTATTGTTGGAAAAAAAAAATGAAAATAGAAACAAAAACAAAAAAAAAATTGTTATGCATTTTTTTAACTTATTTTCCATTTTTGTTATTAAAAATTTACCAAAAAAAAATATTAATAATACAACAAATAACTGGGGCATTAAAATATTTTTTAATAAAGCAACAAAACAAAAAAAAAACATTTTTTTTTTAATAAACAAAAAATTATAAAATCGACAAAATTTATTAAAGAATTTTCAGGGTAATTTTCATAACTATTTTTTTTTTTTGCTGAATCACTAAAAATTTTTGTGAAAATTTTACATTTAAATAAATCGCACATATTTTGAGTTCAATTTCATACCCAAATATTTTAATCACGTATTAGCCATTTAACTAGAACACGGCAGTCAGCTGAACAAAAAAAAAAAAAACAAAAAAATTGGTGTAATTATTATGCAAATAATATGTGACTTTGAAAATAAATAAACCACCAAAAAAAGAACAAAGGAATTAAAGAAATAAAAGCATCAATAATCAAAAAGAAAATAAAAATAAAAGAAAAGCGACACTTGAATAAGTAAAGCACAGTGCTGAGTAAAACACAGCGCACACAAAACACACCACACTTCCATTCCATACACTCATTTTCTAAAAAGAATGGATGAAAAACAAAATTGCAAAGTGGAATGGAAGACACAAAACTTTAAAAGTCGGGATCATTTCAATTTTAATATTTTTTTTTTGTTCTCTTTCTATTCAATTCTTTCTTACATTTTTTCGTTTATTCATTCATTCATTCCGTTGATTCATTCAATTAATAAGCGAGCGCATTTTTTCATTTATTTTTTTTTTTTTTTTTAATATTTCTATTTAATTTTTGATGCCTAAATTAAGTAAAATATTTTTTCTTATTGTATACTTGTACATAAAATACATTAAATTATTAAGCGTGATCTTTTAGATTTCTATACTTACTCTTGAAAATATTTGAAATTCTATATTAGAAAATTATAAAAACCAAAAAAAAAAAAAATCATACACGCAATTCAATTGCATACTTCTATAAAATTATATTGAATATTTTATAATAGAGATTTTAAAATATTAAAAAAATTTATTGAAAAACTACAATCGTAAAATAAGAGAAAATAATATAGAAAATATGTGATGTAGTCAGCATACTATCGTCCATCTTATGTATGCGTTACAAATTTTGATAAATTTATTCTTATATTATAAAGAAGTCTTATTGCTCTTATATAATCTAATGAAATAATTATAAAAGTGGAAAATACCTGTGACGTGGCTTCAAAATAACAGTAATATTGCAATAATATACAATTCGGCTTATGAATTGTGATTGCTGAATTTTGTATTTATAGATTGTTATAAAGATTTTTCAAATATTTTTTTTTAAAATAGCGGCTTATCATCACTAAGTTTAATTAATTATACCCTATTAACTAAGTTAATTAATAGGGTATAATTGCATTGAGGTAGATGTGCTTAAATACATAATTGTTTCAAATTAAAAAAATAAAAAGTTGATCAACCAAGTCCAATTTGGAAACAAATTTTAGAAATATAAGATTTTAATAGAATTAGTTAATTATTATTAGTCAAGTCACTTGAAATAATTTAATATTAGCTCTTAATGAAGAAAAACTTTCTAAAATTTTATTAATTCGTTTAACCGAAAAATAAAGCTGAATTATAATATTTTAAGAAAATCATTTTATTATTACCTTAAATTGTTAAAAATACGAAATGAATCCATATAGTAAGAAAGCAGTTGTTGTGATACGATGTGTCCCAAAAATTATACAAAACTGAAATTCACAGAATATTAATTTAAATTCTATTAATTCTGAAAATAATTTATTTATTCACGGATCACTAATGAGTGAAAAATTTAGCAGATTATAGTTATAGTATACATCCCTTATACTATGTATACAGACAAACTGGAAGTTATTGTTATTAAACTATGCCACTATACTACCTAATCGCTATTTATTATAAAATAGATTAATAATTTTCATTTCCACACCATTTTGTAGGCCCATTTCACCGAAATAATTTCAATTGACCAAACACTTAATTAAAATTATACTTAAAAACAAAGAATCGTATTTATCTTAATACTTTCCCGGCTAATTATTATCAACATATTTAAGACTAATAAACCATAATAACTTAAAATATAAAAAAAATCAAAACATAATTCAAAACTACATAAATTTAAAACATGTAAGAAATACATGAATCTATATCAAGGACTCCTTTCCCTATATAGTTTTTCTTAATATTGGCGACAAAGCAAAAAAACAAAAATTAAAAATGCAAAATTAATTTATTTATAACAAATAAAACACAAGCATATATTCTAAAATTTTGATGGCAACTTTGAAACATTATCTTAAAAAAATATCTAGTCGCATGTTATACAACCTATTTATAAATGACATGAAAACATTGTATATTAATTAAAAATATGTGTATATGTACATTATTAAACATACAATGCATAAACAAGAATACGTACATATGCAACTAAAAACATAAATATCTTTAAAAAAAAAAAATATTAATAAAAATTAAAAGCAAAGACACCAAGTTACCAAAAATGGTATTCAAAATAAACATTATTATTGAATTTATAATGGTAAAACCAAAAATAAATAATTTTAATAAACCAATAAGTTCATTCCATTTTAAAATATTGCAATAACAAAAATTTAAACATTTTTATATTGCATATTTATAGGGGCTAGCCAATCAAAAATGTTAAAAATTGCGAAGGAAAACACTTTGTGTTTTTTTTCGTTTCTTCTTTAATTGAAATTATGAAAAATAATTTTTAATATTTAAATTATTAATTTTTATTATATATAGTTGAATAACCAATTATTATTATAATCGTTACTTGTAATATAATTATAACTATTATTATTGTTATTATGATTACAATTTTGATTTCAATTAATTTCAATCAAAAAACAAACACTCATTATAGTTAATTTGTAAAACATTATTATACTTTTTAATTTATATATACTTTTTATTTTTTTTTTTTTTCGTACAGTTTTCTTTAAGTAATTGGAGTGTAAAACAAAAAAACCAACACCATGGATGCCATTAAGAAGAAAATGCAAGCGATGAAAATCGACAAAGATAATGCATTAGAACGGGCAACTCTTTGCGAACAACAAGCTCGTGATGCTAACTTGCGTGCAGAAAAGGTAAAAATATAACAAAAAATATTAAATAATCAATGAATTGTGATGTTAATAAAATAATATATACGATATAGTTAAAATAATGTTAAATTTAAATTATTTGAAAATGTATGTAATGAATATTTTACTCAAAATTACCGATTAATAAATTTTTTATAAAAATAAATTAGAAATGGTTTTAAGATAATATAAAGCTGCCGGCAAATTCATCTATTATGCCATAATATTGCTATTTAATTTTAATTTAAATTTTAGAAAGGCACATAATTAATATTGGACTTATATTAATTTCTGCACAACACGTGTAAATGATAATGAAGACCAACGACTTTTAACACATACCCAAAAAAAAGTTTTTAAAATTTACTAAAAATGTAGTATAATAACAAGGGCCCTGGCAGACATACTATTTTTAATTTTGCAACGGTTTGATTGATTATTTGTATTCCACTCAAACATACAACTGTATGATCACATGAAAATAAACAATCAAACGGTTTGTAATTTTTTACAAACTAATTGTAATTTAGTTATTGCAGCTGATTTTAATTGACGCAAAAGTTTCGTTGCATGTCTGTCTGACCCCTAAGACATAGAATAATGTAAATAATTTCAGATTAATTATTTATGTATGATAGCTATTAGCACATGCTATCATACTTAATCATACCTAACTATCATACTGAAAAAAAAAATGCAAAGCATTATTTGAGTTCGTATGTACTTAATTTTATGCAGAAACAATAACTTAAAGAATTCATTTGAAATTTATTAAAAATGAACTTATGTTTTGTCTTTAAATAGTAGAGGTACTCAAACTTGTCTTAAATAATGTCTTAAATAAACTTGAATTTGAAAATCTTAAAACTTTGTCTAATATGTTATACTCATATGCAATTTAAACAGAAATTAAATTTTAATTTGGTTTTTGTTTTCTATTATATAAAATAGGCTGAAGAAGAAGCTCGTAACCTACAAAAGAAAATCCAAACAGTTGAAAATGAATTGGATCAAACACAAGAAGCTCTTACACAAGTTATGACAAAATTAGAAGAGAAAAATAAGGCATTACAAAATGTAAGTTTTATCAAAATTTTATTCTTAAATTTTTTATAATATTTATAATAATATTTTTATTAAAATGATGAAGTTAAATTAAGAATGATAATGGGAAAAAATTTATAATATTGGGTATATTTATTGGGTATATTATTTTTTATAATACTTAAATAAAATGGAAAGTAAAAAAAAAAAATTTAATTGATTGAAAGCAATTGATAACAAACACGAAAAATATTTCTATATAATTTCAAATTCAAATTGAATTTGTAATTAAAATTCTTTATGTAAAAAAAATCTGTAAAATTCATAACTGAACGCAAAAATCATATTATTAACAGTTTAACAATAAAATTTCCAATTATTTAGAAAACACAAAAAAAAAAAAAAACAAATTGTTAAATTAAAAGTAAATTATTGTTGAATATTCAATTATATACGTAATTATTTCTCTATCTAAGATTTAAGTTCATTGGTATACAGAAAAGTTGAATGAAATCTTATTTGAGTTCAAAAGTAATTTAAATGAATTTCACGAATTTTTCAAAATATTTAATATTATATTTTAATTATGAATTAAAAAAAAATATGGATTTGTAGTTGAATGTTTCTGAAATTTGAAATAATTCTTAAACAACCCGAATATATGTAGTCATTTCAGCCAATTCGAATATTCGACTGAGACTCAATATTATGCGACATTATAAAACAAATCTCTTACAAGTAATGTTAAAAATTCATAATATTGTAAACGCGTTTACTTGAATTTTTTATTCAATCTGTACTGTCCCACATATGGCATTTTTTTAAAATTGCTTAATTGACAATGCTTCTATTTTATACACAGCAGGATCAGAATGCTCTGGCTATATATTATAATAAGTAACATTCTTTAAATTTTTAAAAGAATTCAAAATATATTCCAAAGGCATTAATGTAATAACCCAATTAAATTGCGATTTAATCTGTAGTATCTATAATGTGTCTATTTCCAAATTTTATAGAAATTCGGTAAGAAGTGCAGGTATGTTTAGGAAAAATAATGTTTAAGAAATTTTTATTTAAAATCCTATATCGATATCTTAAAACTGTTAAGCTTTGACATTTTTCCAAAATAACGAGAAAAATTAATCTGAATAATGAAGAAAAACCTCTTTTGATACTTAAGAGAAATAACCTTTTCCCAAAAATCTATTAGTACTCGTAATCAGTCACTTCATCCTTCAATTTGGAACGGCATAAAAGTTTTGTGAATTTACGATATAGTATAGTCAAAATTTGTCAATAACCTTAAAATAATAATAAGGAGTGTATAAATAAATGTCTATACCGAATTGCAGATTTGTAACAGCAAGTTGACTTATTCAGCAATAATAATTTTAATTGCTAGCTTTTCTTTATTATTTTATAAAATTTTCATTATACAAATTTTATTAATCTACAAATTCCACATTAAATATACATTTTTTTCTATTTTTTTAATTATATACATATACACACATATATATGTATATAAAAATATTAAAGATCTCATAGGACAATCTTGTATAAATATATTTTGCATATCATAAAATTTTTATTGAAATTTTTTCTCATATCAATTAAATTATATTATAAATATAATAATTAAAATATATATGTATGTATAACAGCTACAATTTAACTTGAGAGTATTTTGAAGTAAGCTACATTTGAAGTAATAAAAAATATACGAATGTATAGCAATTCTAATGTGAATATATAATATATATGGCATGTAGCATTAAATAATATAGAAACTAGGTAACTATGCTCTCTCAAAAAATTTCAGATATCAAATTTCAAATCATTCAAATCTCCAAAAATCCATTTTTAAGAAAACAATAATTATATGCGTGTGTAGTACACTCGTACATTAACATTCTCAATAATTTCTACGAGAAAATTCTACATTTTCTTGTATTGTACAAAAAAAAATATTCATAAAAAATATTTTTCAAAAAAAAATCTTAATGATGTATAACAGCTTATATGTATGTATTAAAAATATGAAAATTAATCAATGGAACAAAAACTTCATTAACAAAATGAGGATTAATTAAAAAAAAAAAGAGAAAAAGAAATAATTTGATAATTTGAAAATTTTATTTCTTAATGCAGTGTAGGATGTGAAAATTTACAGTAACAAAATGAAATCGCAATTTTATAAAATCTTCATTTATAATTTTGTAATTGATTTCTCTCATTTTTAACACAAATACATAAACTTATACACACATTGAATTTTTTTTATTGTTAAAAATTCCTTTATGTAAATTAACACCCTGGCCAAATACGGTTGGAATCTAAAGAAAATGCGATATGCGACGATCAAATCGGATATACGAATATTTTATTGTATTTTTTTCTTTTTTTTTTAATTTATTAGATTTAGAGTATGTGGCGCATGCTCCTATAATAGAATTTCATAAAAAATTTTCTTACACACACATTTTTCACATGTATATGTGAAATTGTATTTTGTTTTTTTTTTTTTTATAGTTTTTCACTGAAAATAAAAGTATATATTTTATTTTCTCTTGGGAAATTCAGAGCATAACATACATGTGCATATATAGTACATACATATACACATGGTGCGATGTGGAAATTCTCGTTGTTAAAAATGAAAATTTGGGAAATTTTTATTATTCTTCTTTTTTTTTTTTAGTTATTCTATTTGTCTTTTTTTTTTTTATTGTACCCTACATATACAAGCACGTTTTTTTTTTGTATACACGTACGCTAACAAAAAAATATAAGAATCTCCCTCTTCCACTCCCACTCCGCTTCTTTTTTTTTCCACGCGCAATAAATCCAAATTGGAAAATGAAAAATTTACAAAAAAAAATATGACGTAATTTTCTGGTCAAAATTTTCATAATTTTCACAATTTTTTGAAAAATCTTTTCAATTATTTTTTATGTATATGAAATTAATTTCAGAACAGAAGAATAATGTTCTAATTTAATTTTATTGAAATGCTCTAATTAAAAATATATGATCATTCATTAAATTTAGGTTTTTATTCGAATACCTCTTAAAAAAATTTAAGAAAGAGAAATGTTTTTGAATTAATTAAAAAAATTAATTGAATTCTCTGAAATAAATAAATAATTCAGAATATTTTAAAAAAAAAACTTTTATATTTTTTTCAAATTTTTTCAATATCTTTATTAATAAAATTTAAGTAAATAATTTTAAAGGTATAAGTATAACAATATATGTAAGATTGTTTAAATAACAAACATACGTATTCGGATACACAACCATTCTAGTACCTAACTAGAATCAATCAGACTTGTTATGTATAGATACTGCGAAAAATATTTTATTAAAAAATTGGTTCACCCTTTATTAATACCCTTGAAATTTTCTTATTTTTTAGAAAATTAAGCTATATAAAATAGGTATTATTTGATCTTGTTAGTATCGCCTTAATTAAATAAAATACATAATCATATTCCAAGTATAATACTTCGGAAACTCCATATGGAAGTCTTGTCAAATTCAAATGTCCAATTAATTGTATTAAGTTAATAGAATTTTAATTGCTGAATAAGTCAAAATGACATTAAATTATGTATGGTATAGTATACATGAAGGACACATTTATATATCGTTTATCCTAACCTAAGCTCAAGTTTGATTTACTTACATATATTTTTGGTAATTTTATTAAATATCTGTAACATGAATTTATAAAATTCTTTAAAATTTGCTGAATATATGTACATATATATACGTACAATCATTTATTACATGATTAATTTTAAATATTCTATAGACACTACACACCACCTATTTACTATATAAGATACTAACCACATTAAAAACAACTATCTAAATTTAAATTTATTAAAAAAAAAAATATTGAATTTCGAATATCGTAAAATTTGAAAACCATTTTAAAAATTAATAATATTCGAAATTGTAATATGTAAAAAAAAATGAAAGCATGAATTAGGATGGTTAATTTTCCAAAATTTTTGTTGGCCTACTTTTTCTAGAAAGTATGAATTTTAGTAGCGGAATAAAGGGAAATTGAGAAGGTTCCGATTTTACAAAAGATGTTTTTTTTTTTAAATTTTGTTTCAGGCCATCTTTTGGATAAAAATAAAAAGCTAAACTTTTATCGCTTTCAAAAAGTTAAACTACTGATCAATAGATGTCGCTTCAGACAATGTTAATTATATTATATAATATATTATTTAAATTATTTATATACATTATTCTTTTTAATTGAAATAAGAAAAATAATAATAACGGTAAGAGAAACAAAACAATAATTTATTACCTAATATAAGAAGAGAATAATATAAATTTTTAATCCACTATTAGTGATAATATTAATAAATTTTTGTAAAACTTTTAAAGAAAGAGCATTGCGTTTTAATAAAATGCAGATATGACTGGTAAGATGTAGATATTGTAAAGGAGCATTCCATAAAATAAATCCAGATGTCTTCTAAATTTCATACTTTTCCCCATTTCAATATAAAAAAGGTCAAACAAAAATATATGCGTATCTCTTATATAGAGAACTTTAGAAATCACTAGTTATTTCGTTTCGCCCCTATTCATACTCTATTAAAAATCTAAAATAAGCTAGCATGACATTAGCAAGAAATAACGTCATCATTTTTAAGATTTGTAATACACGTATATTCTGAGTTTATAATTTTAAGTGAATATATCATACGATATGTTTTGTTCTTACGTCATTACAATATAATTTTATCGCACAGATTGTGATATCAAAATGTTTTTTATTGTATTATGTAGGTAGATATGGAATATAAAATATGAATATCGTAATGTATAGTTATAACGTAAGAATAAAAATTTATTAAAACAAAAGAAAGCGTTTTTGTTTTTTCGATGTTAATTTGAAAATTAAAGAATTTCATTTTTTTCATATTTATAAACCTACATACTCAAAAATTTCGAATATATGTATGTAGAAATTCGCAATTTTCTTGTTATTTTATAAAATTTAGGAATTTATATTTGCAATTTTTTTTCAATTTCTCTTCTTTTTTTTTTTATTTTCATAAAATTTATTGAAATAGTTTGCAAATTTTTTGTTAAATCATTCCAAAAAATACATTTTTAGAACAAAAAAAAAAAAACTATGTGTATAAAACCACGTAGATTTTAACCTTCAAAATTTTTATTTTTAATAAATTATTTTCTCAGATCGTAATTTTCATGTATGTACAAACCTATATACATATGAATCTATTATCCTTAAAATTCTCTCAATAGTAAATTTTTTAGTTTGTGAAAAACTAATATGAAAAGCGGAAATATTTTCAATAACAGCATCACTTTCTATTTATACAGAAGAATTTTTACCGTTCAAAAATTTTTTTTTTCTCTCAATTCATCAACTACTGAAAAGTCAAGGCGTTGGTTGGAGTATAAGAATTGAAATTAATTAATCTCATAGGTTTTTATGACCCAAAAAAAAAGCAAAGAAAAAAATAATAAGAAAATTGTTTTCTGCCGCATAGTCGCCGTCATTCGTTGTGATGTGACTAATTTTCCCAAAAAAAAAAAAAAAACATAAATAAATAAAAAACAACAACAGAAAATAATCAAAAAAATTAAGAACATTCAAAGTCTAGGCAAAATTTTTATCAAATCCAAGTAAACTTAAAAAAGCATTTCTAAATGAATGAACACATCGTAATTACGTTAAAAAGAAGTTCATTCATTTTAATTCAGTATATAGTAGAACTCTAAATGCTTCTAAATTTATAACGTACAAATTATAGCAAATACAAAAAAATTAAATCAATAAAATTAATTAATCATTTTATTCTTTGCCAAGTTAATTAACTATAATCTGTTCGGAAAAATAAATATAAGAATTTTTTATTAAAGAAAAAAGTAAATGTTTATAAAAATTTCAAAGAAATATGGGTGGATACGGGGGTTATCAAACTCATACTAGCATCATATCGGCAACAGCACAAAAATATCTTCAAAAATTCCGTAATGAAAATAATAATAATTTAAATAAAACTAATATAAAAAATTTTAATAATAATAGTGGTTCAAATAACAACAATAATAATAATAATAATAAAACAGAAAATTATAATAAAAATACAAAAAAATTTCATCGTAAATCAAAATATTTAAAAGAAATTAATCAATTAAAACGTGCCAACCGCCATCTATTAAATAATTTTGGAAACAATGAATATAAAAAATTATTTTTCACTACATCTAAACGACGTAAAATTGTTGCTACAAATAGAACAACAAATATATCGCAATATAATACAAACCACAAATGTAGTAATCATAATAGAAACAATTCTGCCAACATAAAAACATTTAGAAAAAGAAAAAGAAATAGAAAATATATGTCAAAAATAACTACAACTACAAATATGCAGCTAACTACACCGATTGGTTATGTGTCGTTTTCGCTGTCAACTCAAGGTATTTTTACAGTAGTAGAAAAACAAGAACAAAGTACTAGTGAATGTGAATTATTTGTAGGTGAAGAAGAAAAAAAAGAAAATAACTTTACTGAATTTGAAATAATAAAAAAATTATCTAAAAAAAGAAAATCAAAAAATAAATTTAATAATAATGACGATTGTATTAAAAGTAGAACATTTTCGGTGACTTTACCAATATATTGTTCATCGAATTCATTATTATTTGATTTTTATTTTTTTAATGAATTTTATGCTGATGATGATACCTACGCTAATGCAAATGAATTTAAGGAAAATTTTTTATATGATATAAATAAATTATATTTTATTTGTGATAATTATAATAATTTGGCAATAATAATGAGTGATCATGCTAATACTGGTAATATGCCAGTTAAAAAACGAGGACATCAACATCATTTACGTTTTTCTGGCCAACGTCGTTCAAATGTACCAGTTGAAGAAGTATTAGAGGTATTACGTCGTGGTGGAACAATTGAATTAACAACAACAGCAGCACCAACATCATCAATATCAACAGAAGAAATAACAAAAACAACAACATCATCATCATCATTATCATCATCGTCAACATCATCATCATCATCGTCGACAACATCAACATCGTCAGCTGCTTCTGATAATAGTTTAGATACAACTATTAATCCTACTATAAATAACATTGAAAAAGTAAATGATGTAAATTCAACTAAAACAATTGATGATAGATTTAAGGTGGAGATAGGAAAAACTAGTGGAAATGTTATAAATAATTCAAATGAGAACACTAAAAATAAAACTTTAAATAAATCAAAAATAAATTTAGACGAAAAATCATCTGTTAATAAAGAAATAGAACAAGATAGTGCATCAATTAAAACAAAATTAATGAAAGATGTCAATCGCAATACCCTAAATGATATATCAAATAAAACTCGACCAAATAAATTACTGCCCGACGGACAGAACAATAGGGGTAAGAATACAAATATGGAAATTGACTTGAATATGAAAGTTATAGTTCCCAATGTTTAATAACAAAAAAAAGTAACTCCTGCGTCATCAATTCATAAAATGAACATAGGTTTTAGCATTCTATTTCCAATTAAAAGTTATTCCTTGTCAACTTAATTCAAGTTAATATTTCTTGATATTCACAGCAATTTAACACTTTTAAAAAATTTGATTTTTATTTTTCAATAAAATGAAATTTTTTAATAATAATCTTAGTGTACATTGATACGGTATTCAAATAATGGAACTATAATTTTGTATTCATATTTTCAAATATTTTTTTTTGCATATTCTGTTTAAGAATATTATCATAAATGCCAAATATTAATTTAGATTTGAAATCAATAACAACAGAGGTTGAGATAATAGATTTAACGAGATCAACAACACCAACAAGTGCCTTGCCAGCATCACCATTTGATGTCAAAACTAATTTAGATTCCCCATCATCTTCAGTTACTAATACATCTTGCCAGTTGCTATCACCAACATCAGCTAGTTGCAGTAGTCCAACACCAACTGATGATAGCAGTATTGCTGATGATACAGTTTTAATAAAATCTTCAGTCATTAAAACATCAAAATCGTCTACCAAATCTAAAACTAAATCTAGTAGTAAATCTGTAGATAATAGTAATATTAATAATAATAATAGTAATAATAATAATGGTAGCTCAAAACGTGATAAAACGTCCAAAGATTCCAATTCGAAATCAGATAAAAAACATAAACGACGACGTGATCAAAATATTATAAATAATAGTATTAATCAATATAGCAATAATGAACGAGCTCCAGGTGATGGTGCACCAGCCGATCCAGATATCGATAACATTGAAAATGATCCGGATGCAGCTGAATGGGCTAAAATGCGTTGTACTAGTGAATGTACTGAAATTGTTGCAGAACGTGAAGCACGTCGTAATAAAAATCGTTGTGCCGATTATCCAGGTCTTGCATTTGGGCGTTCAATATTTAGCTCTGATACTATGATGAAATTTAATATTATTCGTAATGAGTTGCATAATATTATGAAAACTCAACTTAAAAGGGTAAATTTTTCGATTAATCCTATACGACATTTTTTTTTTCTATTTTAGCATTTTGTGGCAATGAGTGAATGTGAAATTTAACAAACAACTGTGATAATGATTAACAAGTTTTGTGAGAATGATTTTTTTCTTATTTGACACAAATTATTTAAAAAACTTTTAATGTCAGTTTAAGTTTAATTTGGCTTGAATACGTTATCTAAAATAATATATTTAAAATTTAGAAAATACGGTTCACTGAAACAATTTTCTTGTTTACAAACGTATTTCTCTAAAAAAAATTCTCAAAATTATAAGTTTGAAGTGTAGATACAAATACTTGAAACCAGAAATTCATATATTTTGACTTTATACGCAATATAAACTTTCCCATGGAAAATTTTATTTTATTAAAACCCTCCCGCAACATACGAATTTGTTTAAAAAAAAATCATCACGTATGCAATAAATATACATGTAATATGTATGTATGCACGCTTATCTTGTGATCTGAAAAGAAAACGCGGAATATTTTCACCGCTTGAGTAATTATGTGTATATACATAATAGCTACAAGTAAAAAGTAAAAAGAAAAATAAATAAAAGCGATCACTTGACTCGTCATCATTATAAATATTTCCAAATTCATTTTTTTTTCCTTTCATTTTCAACAAGAAACAAAATTTTATTTAAAAATTAAAATAAGAAATTCATACATAAATATATTTTTTTCTAAAATTTTAGTTTATAATTTTTGGATGAATTTTTGTCTTTCTTAATAATGAAATATTTAAAATATGAGAGAGAACGAGGCAACGAGGATGAAATCAAAAAATATAACCTTGAAGATATTCGCGAAATCATTCAAAATTGATTACTGTTTTTTTATTGTTTTCTTTCATTTTATTAGATAGATGAAAAGAAAGCTTTTTCACAAAATTACATTTGAATTATTTTTGTCTTTAAATACAATAAACACTTACTGGATCTGTTTTTAGAAAATTAAAAAATTAAATTCAATGAACATAGTAAAATTTTATCGTGATGATTCATTAGTTAAATATTTTTTTGCTTTTTTAAATACTTCAATTATATTTTCATTTTTTATTTAATTCGTAATATAGCATATACATACATATGTATAGTTTTGTTTACTTTATAAATTTTTAAGATAATCTAATTTGATTAATAGGAACTTAAATATATACACTTAATTACTTATACATACCTTTTAAAAGTTTTTAAACAACTTTTTTTTGATTATTGTAAAGGCATCAAAAATTAAAATCTTGAAGGTTCTTTTTATTGACTCCAAGTTAAATAGACATGTATTTAGAGTTGTCTATTTAATTTTTTAATTATTGCTATTAGGAAAATCCATAAAAACTAAAAAAAAAAAGAATATAAATTGAAAAATTTTTCTATGAATTACAATTAAATCTTGAAATTTATTTACATTTCAAAACTTACATAAAATATTTTCTGATATAGTGAATGTTCTTTTGATATTTAATTGTATTTTCGATATATGTAATTATATAATATAACATATTTGTTTTTTGATTTTAAATATAATTATTTATTAATTGCTCTAATTCAATAACTAATAATAGTTCTTATCGACATATGTATATTTTTTTTCTAACCAAAAATCAAGAATTCTTACACTAGTTTCCATATGTAATTAATAGCTGTTAAGACCGTTTTGGTACATAGAAACCTATTGTCGAGGAAGTTATTGTAATTTTTGTTCTGTTGAACATTTCATTAGTCGATTTTGTAGATTATCGTCAAAATATGAATATAAAAATAGAAATAAAAATTTTTTTGATTCAAACTAAAACTCAGGAAATCAAGTACGGTAGTTCAATAAGTTATTAGATTTAATTTATATAATATTAGGAACGATTTATAAGTTTATAAATACAGTTAGTTAAGAGACTTGAATTAAAATTAAAAAAAAATATTTACTAAAATTTTATTGAAATAAATTTATATAACTAAGTGGGAAATTGAGATAAAGATATTCATAATTTTTTAAACCGTTATTAACTTTAATTTAGAAAATGATCCTAGTGACAAAATTTTAAAATATTGAAAATAGTTTATGCTATACATTCATACTTAAGTTACTCATTCATATAGATTTGATTATATAGATAAAAATTAAAAATAATTTATCACAACTTTTACAGCATATGTATTAAAAATTTTAAATAATTGAATTCATAATTAAAAAAGAAAAATATTTTCATAAAAATATATTTAATTTTCAAAATTTATTTAATTATAAAAACTCAAATAATAAGCATATTGTTAAAACTTTTAAATTTTGTCACCAGAGTTCATAGTTCGGTCAAACATAACATTATACAATATAGTAAAATCTTATCGAAATAATTAAAATATCGAGTTTACTCGTTTACTCGTTCATATAACTAAATAACTTTTTATCAATAAGTTTAAATCTTTTGAGAAATTATAAATTTCATTACATTTGTTTGTAACAATTCGATAATTATAGTATATATACATTTTACCTGTTGGATAAAAAGAAATAACAATAATAACGTTCTTCTTTAGACCAGTTTTGTTGTCATCACTCATCATATACAAACACAACATAACATATAATTATTTTTAAAAAGAAAAAAAAATAAAGCTCTGGTCTAAAGATGACGTTACTTTATTTCTATTTCATTCTCACTAATTTTCATGATATAGATATACTTTTTTCATTTCAACTTGTAACTTTTATGATATTTTCACAAATCCATTTTGCGTTTGACAGATATTTTGAAGTGGATTACAAAAAAGGATAGCATAAAATTATTTTCAAAAATAATATTGTTTTACTGCTTTTTCTCCTGTTAAGCATCGGATTTAATAAAAAGAAGAAAAAAAAAACTTGACTTGAAAATTGAAATTGAGTTCAGTTTGATTTTAGTACTAGGAAAAGATAGTGGAATTGGAAAATTTTCATATTAAAAAGTGTAGTGTGTTACGTGTAACAAAAAAAAAATAGTTTTTTTTTTTTTTTGTTGTTGGAATAAATTAAAAAATTAGAATTAAAAGCAAGTTATAGAAGGAAAATAGAAATATTAAAAAAAAAAAAATTTAAACCGTGTGTTTCGGATGAATAAATTTTACCCTAATTTTTTTTTATTTGTCACATTGATAAATTTTTAATATATTTTAAGTGCATCCATTGAAATTAAATTTTTTTTTTGCGTCAAGTGAATTGAAAAAAAAAAAAAAAAATGTTTTATTGAAATATTAGTCAGTCAGTTCGGTGGTTGATATTAACACACACACACACACAAGCAGAATGGCTAACAAATTTTTTTTTATACATACTTAATATTGCCTATTTTCTTCCATAATACTTTAATTTTATGTAGTGCTTATAGCAATAAAATTTAAAAATCAGTAAAAGCCGCTCCCAATTGATTTCATTTTTGTTATAATATGGCTAAATAAAACAAAAAATTCCAATTTTTTGTTTTCCTTCTTTTTTTTTATATAATTTTTATTAAAATATACTATAATATTGTTAATCAAGCCATTTTTAATAGAACAGAATTAAAATTATTTTAATTTTTCAGGTTAGAATATTATATATCTACCTATTTATATACATAATATGTACATATACGTATTAACTTGTACTAACTTCTTGTATGGTTTCAAAAATTTTATTCTACAAAATTTATACATAAGTACTTACATACTTAGTTCTTGTTTCAAAATTTAAATTATTTGATTAAAATTTAAAATTAATACTGTGTATCATCTACCTACCTACCTACCTTCATATGAAAGTTGTACAGTGATTATGATATAGATGTTAAATACTTATATACATACAAATACATTCAATTACTTCCTACCTACCTATTCCATATTTAAAAACACATCATGATTTTTTTTTTTCCATTTAATATGACCACCACTGACCATAGATTAATATTTAATTAAATCAAAAATATACTTCTATAACATCATATTTTAATAAATTACTTATATCTTAATTTTAGATTAAAAATATAAAAAAAAAAATTGATAAAAAAGTGAATTACCTACTTATACCTAATTACTTTATAAACTTGCTTACTTAAAATAAAATTTTTGTGAATATAAAATAATTATTGACCATAAATAATTAACAATTTTGTGCCTAAATTAATTTAAGATCTTAATTTTCTATTTTTAAAAATAAATTTTGGCTTAATATAAGCTTTTAATTAAAAATTATTTTAAAGTTTAGTAAAGAAAAACTTATTTAATTCATTTTGATTAATATATTTGAGAAATATCTATTTATCACACTATTTCTTTTTGTTTTTGGATTTATATTACATATATATATCCATACACATTTACATACTTATATATTTAATATATTATTACAATACTTCGTTAGAGAAAATATATATATATAAAAAATTAAAATAAAACTAACAAAATGACGGCAAATATTCAACAAGGTACACTCTTAGATGTTCTCAAAAAGAAAATGCGACAAACGAAAGAAGAAATGGAAAAATATAAAGATGAATGTGAAGAATATCATAAAAGATTACAAATGGAAATTATTAGGAGAGAAGAAGTGAGTTTTATTTAGTTCCATATGTAAAATTCATAATCAGTTAGGAGCCTACTTAATTCTATACTTATACCAACTTAGTTATATATTTTTGAATATTTATAAATTTAATTTATAAATATTCAATTATTTAGATTCTTAGTCAATATACTTAGAGTTAGGAAACTAAGTATTAATAAATTGATTACATTTATTTGAAGTTTAACTTTTTGTTAGGTAGAGGTTGTATGTACTCCATAGTTGCAATTATCACTCTGTCATAGTTTATTAAATATTAAATGAAAAACTTATACCTATATATCTATAAAAAAGTTGAAAGGATCTATGCAAAATAAGAAAATGTTCATATTAATAGAGACACAATATTTAAATGATTCTACTTCTCATTTTCAAAAAAGTATGAAATCCCTTTTTTAATTCATTAGTTTTTTAATTAAGTAATTAGGTTGTTAATTATTTATTTATATTATAATTATTAAATGTTCCAATCCGAATTAAATTTATTCTAATCTTATTAACAATATATTATGATTCTTTACTATTTTTTGTTGTACATTAATAACTAGGTGCCTACCTAATGTTGTTATTTAGTTGATGGGTAGGTGCATACATAATAAATTTAACTGATCTACGTAATTGCAATATCCAACCCCTATTATACAAAAAATTATTACAATAATTCCACTTTGTAATTCCCAAATTATGTACCTAACTATTCATATATGTAGGTACAAATAAAAAATTAAGTTATTAATCATAGCATAAGTAAATTTGAAAATGTCAGATTTTTTATTAAACTAAATTTTACAGGTTAGGTACAATAAACTTTTGAATTCTAATAAGCTAAAAGTTATTATACACATATATAAATATTTATACCTACCTACCTACCTGTTTTCATAAACTCTTGTTTTCGAAATTTCTAAAAAAAAATCAATTAAAAAAAAAAAAAGCAAAATGACAGAAAATATTATTTCCCCCCAAAAATGTTCTCTTTGTTTGTTTTTACGTTTTCTAAAAACAAAATAAAAATAAAAAATTGAAGAAATATAATACCTTTTCGTTCTCATTAACTAAAATAATATTTCACTTAATTATAGCGGGTGAATTTCTTGACTCTTACTCCCAACAATATAGCAAGTAATAATAGCATTGGTATAGTTAGATAGCTGATTTATATAGGCACTCGCATTTATACAAATCCATAAGAAAAAATGTTAATTTTGCACATTTAACAACTTAAAAAAAATAGTCAGTAAATTTTTTTATTTTCGTTTTGGAAAAAAGAAAAACGAAATATTCTTCAAAGTTATTCTCAACTTAATATCCAATTACTATAACACAAGTAAGACAACCAATACTTATTTTCTAAAATGTACAGACACACACACTTTATAGTAAACTTCCTTTCTATCTATAAGTTTGAAAGAATATGAATAGGTAGGTTTATTTCTCAAATATCTACGATTTTAGTGAGTAAGTAATGGAAAACAAAAAAAAAAGAATACAACAATAAAAGCAAGAAATACCTTATATTTTCTTTTTGTTCATTTTTTTTTCCTTTTTTCAAGTATAAAATTAAATAACTAAAAGTTTGTAATAGTTTGGTTGTATTTTTGTTTTACTATAGCGTTTGGTGACCTCATGACACTTGATGATAAGAATAATAAAATTTAACAAAAAGAAAACAAAAAAAAAAAAAAAGAAAATTAAAACTTAAACAGGTAAAATTCTGTTTTATTTTTATTTCAAATGAGAAAAAAAAGGGCAGACCACAAAAGCAGGTGAGGTGACAGGCAAACGCTAAAAAAACTTTAGGTCTACAGTCGCTTGTTCTTTTTTAATTTTTTTTTTTTTTTTTATGAATTGAAGGAAATTTGCTCATGCAATATTTTTGTTTTCGTTTTTTTTTTTTTTTCATTATTTTACTCAATCTTAAATTATAATTTAAGCATTTATGTACGTACTTATATGTTATATTTATTTAGGTTATGTTAGCTTTATTAGTACTGTTTAAACAGTAGGTTGCATTTAATTTTAAATTTTAGGGAGAAAATATTTCATCTATGTTTGTTTGGTATTTCTTATTTTTTTCATAATTTTGAATCAGAATTAAAATCATTTATTCAGTTTTATATTCCTTATAAATCTTTAGGGTTGACGATTTAAAAGTTTCGAATTCTTTTCTTGTTACTTAAATTAAGTAATTCTCGTCATTATTTTATTTGCCATTACTATTAAATTATTTTGTATACTTAGATTATTTTTTTAACAAAAAAATTTTTAATGTATTTAATGTGATTCATAAATGCCTTAAGCAGTTTAACTTAGGCAGGAGGTATGATTCTTAATTGAAATTAAAAACGAAATATTCGTCATTGGTTATTTAAAGTACATATACTAATGTTTAAGAATATTTTTGGTGTTTTACATTAAAAAGAAAAGTATGTTTTTTTTTTTTTTTTGTAAAAACAATTAAGTAAAAATTTAAAAAAAAAAAAATTTAATTGCAAATATATATAGGTACATCCGTAGCAATAGGTTTACATACATCAATTAATTTTTATGTTAATTAAACCTTTTAGAATTTGGTGTATAAGATATCGTACAATAATATTAAAATTTTACTTTTAATAATCATTCATTTGAAATGATTGCCTATACTTTATGTATGTTTTTATTATTTTAATTATATTATATACTTAAATGTATTTACATATTTACTTTGCAAAACAAAGTTAAAATTTCATCCACTTAAATATTTCATTGCAATGTCAAAATTGTCAATGTTTGTTATTTGATGGCCTTTTAAGAAATTCGAAATTTATATCAACGCATTCCATTTGTTTATTACATAAAATTATAAAATATAAATAATAAAAATTATAATTACATAATTATTTTTAATGAAAATAATGTTGTCTCGTCATTGCCGGTTCATACCTTTTATATTATAAAATAATTATACGAATAAAGTTATAAATACATAAATAACTAACAAATAAATTACGTAAATAATGACAAAAATAATAAAGACTTATATACCTGCGTACTACATGTGTTAAAAGCATGAAATTCTTTTTAAAAATGGCAACAAATAAAAAATGAAAAAATCATAATAAGAAAATTTCTTGGCTACCTTTTGAGTAACTTAATAAAAAACGAAATCAAAAATAAAAAAACGTTAAAAAAATTTTTTTTTTGTTAATATTCAATCGACTTATTTTTGTTTTTTAGTTTTTCATACCTACCATTTAAAAATATTTTATACTTATTTATAATGGTAATTTGAATTCACTTTTTCTTTCTTAAAGGTTATTTGGATTCGATTGTTTAATGCTCTTGTCTTATTTTCGACATTTTATGGTGTGCCGTTTGTATATAAATTGTAACTGTGTACTTATTAAGTGTTCTTTTAAGAATCAAATCAATATCACTTTTATATGAGTGAAAGTGTTATGAATTATTTCAAGATTTAAAATTAAAAATTGCAAATTAGTATTAAGTAAATGTAAAAATTAACTGCCGTCAATTTTAGAATTACATTAGAAACTTTGAAATCAAATAAAATATTAGTACAATATCAAAAGGCTCCCAAATCGAATATTCCATGTGATTTCTACAGAATTTGTCAACAGTTTATGAACGTAATGTATAATACGAATCAATTATTTTACAAATTAAATATTTTGGTATTAAATCAAATGCAAAATAATAAGCCTTACTAAAATTTACCCAAAATAAGTAACATTTAAATGTTAGACAAGTAAATTTTGTAATTCAGCATTACATGAATATGTCATATTTAATGTGAAACTTGAATAGGTCCAAATTCTAAATTTTCATTGTACTTACAATATCAAGGTAATTCATAAAATAAAATAATAATAAAAAACAAACCTTAGTAGTTAAGTATAAGCGATACGTAAACAAATTCAATGGATTGGAACATTTTTAAATATATATTTACTGTCATAATTGGGAAATAATAGAGCTAGTAGAATCATAATCAAAATAAAATTTCTTTTAAAATAAATGTTTGTGCATATAGCTAAACAGGCATATATTTCAATATACTTATAAGTATTTGAATATTTTGAATTCTAGCTAAATTTTCACCCAAAAATTAGTTAAAATAAAACATTTTGCTTTTCATTCTTTCTTATTTCTCATTAATAAAAAATTTAATAATATAACATTAATAAAAAAAAATAGTGCGTAACTATATAGAGTACAACCTAATTAGAATACATAATTGTTAAATCTTTATGCATGTTATGGTCAAGTTGATTTGAATAATATTAAAAAAAAAAAAAAACAGAGCACCTATTTGGTAAACGGAAATTGTTGCCAGTGAGTTTTTTTTAATATTATTTTCAAATATTTTCTAACCTAAAAATTTTAGGGTTATAACAAAATGAAGTATAAAAAAATTTTTTTTTTTCGGTTATTTAATATATGTCTATCTATTTAACTACCTGTTAAAGATATAAGTATAAAAAAAACTAAAAAGCACAAGGTATATTTGAAAAAGTAATCGGAATAAGTGATTACAGAAAGATTAAAGATTTTTATTATACGACAGGGTCTTTAAAACGATAAATAATTTTTAGTACTTGGTCTTTGCATGGCATAGATAACTTTTGCAATCCAAGACCTCCTGCTGTTTTTGGGGTATGGAAACTTTTTTCGATCCAGCATTTTAAATATTTACTCATAAGTTATTGACCATATATTTTTTATTAGGTCATATTTGAGTAGTTTATGAAATTGTAAAAGCAAGCTATAAAAATTTGCAAGTTGAACTTTTTGGAAATTTCACGATTTGCTACAATAAAATTTCATCTTTCGAGTTATTAAGTACTTTCTGACTATTTTATAAATACTTATACACGACAACAATTGGATCTTTTACCGTTTACATTTCTATCTCATCTTGTACATATTTCTGTACTTGTTGAAAATTTATGCTTACATAAACATCTTCTTTATTATACTTAATCATGAAATTTGAATTATGCAATAATACCATTAATTTTTGGTTTCTATATAAAGGAGGATTTTTAGGTTTTTTTTTTTAAAACTTTTCACTTTTTTACCATATTTACCTGAATTTTAGGTTAAACTTTTTTATTCTTAAAATATTAAAGTTTATTATTAAAAACTTCATCATTTTAATGAAATATAATTATTATATAAAAAGAAGAAAAAGAATCATAAAAAAAAAAAATTATGAAGGACATCTTTGTTATCCAAAAAAAAAACTTTTTTGTTTTCAATTAAATATAGGCTGAATCAGAAGTAGCTGCTTTGAATCGTCGTATTCAATTGCTTGAAGAAGATTTGGAACGTTCTGAAGAACGTCTTGCCTCAGCGTCAGCTAAACTTTCGGAAGCATCTCAAGCTGCTGATGAAAGTGAACGGTAAGTTTCAATATTAAAATTGTAATAAGAATTTTTTGTTTTATTGCTAAATTGTATTTATTTTTTATTTGTTGCTGAAAAAGTATGAAATTTTTCCACAAATTGATAATGATTTTTGTTTTTTATATCATGCTCTTAAATTAAAAATTATTGTTAACTGTGTTTTATAAACAAAATCTATTTTTAACTGTTTCAATACTTTAATTTTGTAATACAAATTAAGACGGTTATCGAGACCTGCTATAAAATCAAAAATTTTATAAAATATAAATACAAAGTGTTATCTCTGCATAACAATATCCTATTTAATATCGATTGACATACCAACATGGAACAAATTCAATTTTAAAAGAAAGACATGGGTTTCTCAAATTAATTTTGGTTTTTAATAACATTAAAAATTATGTATTTTTCGGAGATCAAATTAAGCGGTAACTGCTTATTGCATAATATTCAAATACCTCAAAGAAGTATTTATTTATTATTCAAAACTTTCAATCATTTTGAGTGGCTGATACTCTTTATATGAGATCTATGTTAAATAATTGGAAGCTTCAGTACTCTTCCCAAAATATATGTTTAAAATACGCCTGTTTTCAAAAAAATTCAAATGCAAATCTAATTTGTAATCAGTCAAGCATTCAAAATGCATACGCTACAAATTTTAATTTACTGAACTAATGAGATTTAAGAGCATGATATATGTAAAATAAAATATCGTTCAATAAATTTCAAATATACTTAATAAATTCTTCGAAATTTTTTTAAAATCAAAGAATTTACTCTTAATTATATATAATTGTTGTTATATTTATTTTATCAAATATTTCTTTTCATAAACGTATTAGAAAATAAAACGAAATTAAAAAAAAAAATAAAAAAAAGATTTCGAGTTCCCACGAATTTTCAATGTTAAATTTTATTAAAACTCCGATTTTAGCTTATTTAAAAATTACATTATTCTCTCTCTCTCTCCTACTTTAGTAGTTTATTCATTAAGTTTTTTTTTTATAAGTATTGACCTGAAATTCTAATAATACTATATTAGTACCTAATTTTTAAAATCAGGTTTCTATTAAAATTGACTAAAAGTAATGAACAATATTTGTTTTACCTTATAGTTGATAATTTTAGAGAATTATAAATACTTAATTATAAATAGAAAAATATTTTCTACTTTGAAATTGAATTAGACATAATTCTATACATACATATATGTTATATACATACATATTTATGTATATTTTTATGTGTAATAACTTGGGTTTTTTCCACACATACTTTTTATGAATCGTTTTTCTACTCTCATTTTTTGACCATATATTTCGCTATTATTTTTTAAAATTGAAATTAAAAACCAATTTTGAAATATTATCTCAAAAAAAAATACAATTTTTTCTATTATATACGAATAAATTATAAAAAAAAAAATAATGCAAAACAAAAATTAAAAAATAAAATAAAAAATCACAAGGATACGAAAAGCACTTGAAAATCGTACAAATATGGAAGATGACAGAGTAGCTATTTTGGAAGCACAATTAGCACAAGCAAAATTAATTGCTGAAGAAGCAGATAAAAAATATGAAGAGGTATAAATTTATAGAACGTTCTATTGATTTAATTGCAAAAAAAAAAAATGATAAATTCAAAGTCAGGTTTTAAATAGGACACGCTGAAAATGTTTTGAATTGCCATAAAAAAATTTTTTTTTTCTGTTAATTTTTATTTTGATAATTTTGAATTTCGTATTGTGATCTCATTTTGAAATCATTCAATTTGAATTAATTATTTTCTTTTGATATTGAAAAAATTTTGATTTGAATTTCGAATTTAATAAAATAAATTTTTTTTCTACTTGCCGAATTAATTTTGTTAAAAAATGTAATTAAAATTCGCAATCAATCAAAAAATTTAAAATTTCCAGTAACTTTTAATTTTTAAAATTTAAAAATATTGTTTTACTTCAGTAAAATTATCAATTTCCCATAAATTCAAGTACATATTCTAAATTTCCAAAATGAATAATTAGTTCAAATTCAAAACATTCAGCTTTTGTAGGGTATTAGGGAATTCTCTGTTCTATTTATTATACAAAATATTATTTAATGAGTTTTTCAGATTCAACAATTTTCTTATTTTTTTTTTATTTATTTTATTATTAAATTATTATTCAACTGGATCAATTTGTATAAATTATTTCTTATTTCTATAATATAAATTATTATTAAATTCAACGTATATAAAAAAAAATTAAAAGTCAACGTTAACTTTTCACCTGCTGCCGTCAGAAACCCAAAAAATACAAAAGAAAAAATTTTTGATTTTATTGAAGAAAAAACCAAAAATAATAATTTTTTCAGAGCACGTAAAACACTTGAAAATGGTATGTTATCACATGAAGAACGTATGGATTCATTAGAATCACAATTAAAAGAAGCATTATATCTTGCCGAAATTGCTGACAGAAAATATGATGAGGTTCTATTCTATTATATGTTTTTACCTTTTTTCGGTCCTTATTTTAAATATTATGAATTATAATATGTCTGTTAAATGTTTCATGTTTTAATTATATTCAATTTTCATTATAGATAAGAATTTATCGAAAAATGTTGTATTGAATTAATTTCGAAATATTTTCAAAATTTGTAAAATTATTTTATGATTGGAAATTATTTTGTTATTTTCCCTAACATTCGAATTGCAGTCTAGTACTATACTAATACTATTCAATTCAGTAATTAGAGGTTATAAGATGAATTTGTTAATTCATAAACTCTTCATCTTATAACTTGTAATAGCAAAATTATGTAGTAATATTACTGCAATTCGTATAAGTATGTCGGAGGTATATATGTGTCTTCTGAATCCTATTTTGTTCAACCAGCAGCTGTTAATTTATTTTAAAACTTTATTTATTTATTTTTTATGTGAATTTTATTTATTTGTTTAAAAATAATATTACTATATATTTGCCCATTTTGCAAATTTTCTATACAAATAGGTGGCGGAAACTTTTATAAAATGATTGATCGTTTTGTCCCGGCCTTGAATTAAAAAAAAAAATAAATTTTTTTTTTTAATTCAATAATAATTAATAATATTCTTAATAATTAAATTAATATTAATTTATTCTTAAATTAATTTTATTATGTATTATTCAGCGAACGTAAAAATCTTGAACTCAGTTCTCAAGAGGTTGAAGAACGTTTAGATGCACTTGAGCTTCAACTTAAAGAAGCTCGTTTTCTTGCTGAAGAAGCTGATAAAAAATATGATGAGGTCTTTAAATTCAAATTGATTTCAAATTTATTTAATATATTTTATATATATTATTTTTTTCATAATATATTAACTTTTGAATGTTAATACTTTCTCTTTGACAAAATAATTAAATTAAGATATGCTAACAAAACAAAAAAATTATTATTAAAACTGCAAAAATAATATGTAAATAATTTTTTAAATATTACTTATATTTTTTTTTTAAATAGGCAAACTTACAAACGAACTATAGATTTCTTAAAACTAAAAATAAAGTAAAAGAAAATATTTTTGTTCTTAAAACACAATACTCATTTTTTAAAATATCACAAATTTTATCAATAAAATTACAACACAAAAAATACTCTTTTACTATTTTTGCATAAATAGATGTGATATTTATTGTTCCCCCCTCTCCCATTTTTTTAAAAATTTCATATTAATAAATTATTTAAATGAAAAAAAAAATAATGAATACTGATTATTTTTTTTTATCAAAATGAAAAAAACATAAATAACTTTGAAAATTATTTAAAAATTATATTTAACGACCCCTCATCCTGTTTTTTGTACAAAAAATTTTTGATTTTGTCCCTGTGCCCGCCCCTGACCTTCGCCTCTTAAATAATTTTTTGATTGTTAAAAAGAATTTTTGTTTTAATTTGCAGTTTTTGCATCCGTTGTAATTAAACAAAAAAAAAAACATTTTTGAGTCATTTTCATTTTATTTTTTAATGTTAAATTTTATTTTTGAAAACCTACATAAAAGTGGGTTATAGGGAGCAAAATATTATATTAATAATATTAATTTTGTCCCTAAACTTGTTTTATTATTATTTATCACATTTTTTTTTTTGATTTTCTTCGAAAGTATTGTATTCAGCTAAGAAAAGGTAAAAAAAACAACTATTACGGTTTTTTCTTAATTTTGGAATATAGGACAAAAATAATCTTATAAAATGTTCAATATAAATTCATAAATAAGTATCTAAGGAATTTTAAAAGAAATATCTTCAAATCAAATAACATAATAAAATAAGTACACATATTTAACATTAATCACACACAAAAGTTATACATAAAAATATAAAATATTTATTTAATAATACTTAGACCTCAAAATCATACAAGCTCTTAATAAAAGAAAATTCGAAATTCTTAAGTAGAATAACAATTTGAAAAAAAAAATATTTATTTAATAATTAAGATTACATAATTATTTAGATTAAAAGGTTCAAATAACTTTAGTAATATTATGAATCAAACATGTATGATGTTCGTGATTCAATTCAATAAATTTATTTCTATCTATTGAGAATCGTAACTAAAATAATCGAACCAAATTAAGGAAAAAAGAATTCTTACTTAATATCCTATTTAATAATTATCCGTCTCCAATCTAATTTAAAGTCAAAATTTATTACATTATAAATTTCTATGCTTTACGTCTAATAAATTTTAATAATTAATTCGAGAATGAAATACTCAAACAAAACGTACTGTAAATTATACACAATAATTTAGTCACAATTGTGAACTATTATTATAGCATTTACGTTTGTTTTTTATACACATTATCTCCACTACATGATGTATAAAAAGTATTTAAACTTACAATTCAAAAAATATTCAATCAACCGAATACATACATGTTCATGTACTTGTGTTATTCCATTAAATATTCCTGATTTCGAAATTGTAATAATATTAATTTATTAAATAATTCAGCAACTACAAGTTATAAGCTGAATTTTGTATAAACACCTTTTTATTACAATTTTGAATTTTAGTGTATATTTTTATAATTTTCAATTCATTACCATTATTACATTCATTTTTTTTTGGTTTTTTTTTTTTAAATTATTCTTTTGATACATTTTATCATTATTTATACATACATACATTACAAAACCAAAGATCATTTGTAATAATTATTAAAAAAAAAAAAAAAAACAACAAAACACACACAAAAATAAAAATTGTTAAATAATCATCAATATTGGCAATTTATTTAATTAATTACAGTCAACGTATTTCACTTGAAGAACGCGCTCAAATTCTTGAAGAACGTGTTGATGCTATGGAGCTTCAAATTAAAGAAGCTCGTCTTTGCGCTGAAGAAGCTGATAAAAAATATGATGAGGTCTTTACACGAATAAATTTTACAAAAATTTTTTTTTTTTACCAATCAATTCAAAAATTAATAGAATTATTTTTTTTTTTTTTTTCTTGTAAATAACACAACAAATACTATACTTTATTTTTTTCTTATTTTTATTTTGAAAAAATATGCTAACACACACACATATATATACCTACATTCATCATAAATACATAAATAAATTATAAAAATACAAATGAACATTCCCCAACCACCCACATTGAATTGATTTTCAAAACATAAAAAGTTTAGAAACCTTTTACCCATACATAAACGTATTGGAGGGTTAAAATTTTTTTTTCTTTTCGAATTTTTTTTAAGTAGATTCTTAGGGGTTTTCTTTTTAGTTTTTAGTTTTTATTTTTTTAGTTTTTAATTTTTATGTATATTTAAATACGAATATATACATAAATTTTTTTCTTAATTTTGCTATACACTTTACTAACATTTACACACACAAATTAATACTTATTAAAAATTAAGATAAAAAATTACAATTTTAAGGTAAATTTTCTTTTAAATTCAGATAATTGCAAGATTTATTTTATTCCGTAATAATAAAATAAAGTTTTAATCTGAAATTCAAATAAGAGTAATTTTCTATTACTACTTAATTCAGAAACTTACTTTTATAAGCTGAATTGTGTAATATTAAAATATTATAGCAATGTCATAATTTTTATAAATTACTATAAAATATCATTTGCTGGGAAAAAAAAGTTCCTTTCTTGAATTTTAAAGGAAATTTACTTTAAATTAAAAAAAATTTTTTTTTAAATTTTTTACTTTTATATTTTATAAAATTTTATAAGTAAAATTAAAGCACTAATACACACAAATATATAAATAATATAAGAATATATACACATAAACAGTTGAGAAATTTCCAAAATTACACAAAATAATTAACTAATTATACCAATACATTTACATATTTATATGTTTATATAACACAAAATATTATAAATCTATAATAATTTAGAAAAAAAAATACATAATACAAATAACTTTTTGTTTTCTTACACATATATAAGTTTTAAGAACAAAATAAGAAAAATACTATAAGTAATTATAAATTTAATTAACTTTTATTAGGATACACAAATAATAATTGTTATACGTATAAACAATAACGTATAATTCTGCTATTCATGAATTATTCGA